CAGAAAACTACCACCTACACACTCTGCCTTCGTTTCTTAATCCCACCTACACATGGGTTAAGTTGTGTGGCTGCATCCTGCACGGTTGGTAGTAGGGCGAGGGGAGGGGTGGGGGGGGGGGGTCACATTGGTCCTATTTTGATGAAAATGATGTCCCCCGGTGATGTGGAAACCCATTTGTGCATTTGCTCCTGACTTCCGTACACCCCTCAGACACGGATATTATCTTCCTACTTGGAGGGGCCTCTCCACTCGGCGAGCCGCTCCACTGCGATAGGCGCTGCTGTCGAGAGTTAATGAGGCTGGTTGAGAATGTAACTATCAATCAAAACACGGCCCGGCGATATCAACCGAGTGCAAATGGGTCGCTCCGGTTTGCCCGTTTTCTCGAGGGCCATTTAACCCGATGGCCGCCATGATTGATTGATGTTAAATTATGGTCGTTCTACGCGATGAATGGAACACTTATAGCTGGGAAAATGTGATGTTGTTCCGTGAATCCTCGAGAGCAGATATGCTCAGGTGCAAATTGCTCGGCGCATTGTACCAACTCCATCAAATCTGTTTAATACCTAAAGCCATTTGCTCGACGATTACTGTGCCCAGGTGTGACGAACTATGGCTTTCAATCCATGGCTTTCAAAAATATACATTTGAATTTACCCTTTGTAACACATTTTGAAGGGGTTAATTGGAAGCCCTGTAGATGTTCTTAATGTGAGAGGTAAAAAATCAGAGCTGTGTGGGAAGGAACAGCAAAACAGGAGTGGTCATAAAATGTCTTATTGAAACCATGACACATGGCGGCGTCATGGTTACCTGGTTTTCATCACCAAGCCGGGAGTGTTCCCGAGCCCCTCTGTGCTCCCTCTGCCAACCTCTCCCCTTCTCTTGTCCTCTAATGTGTCCTTATCGCTGCCATCCTTCTCTCCCTGTCAACCCCAGCTCTCCCTCTCGGTCCACCTCGCCCTTCCTCAACGCTTCTTCTCATTCAGTTCCAGTGTTTGTTGAGGAGCCAGTAAAAGTGGCACTAGCAGCTGTCCAAACACTGATGGCCCCCCGCTGTGTATGGAAGAACCCACCACCCCCCCAGGTTCCCAGTGGATTTTGTGTTGGCTTTTATCACAAGCTCACAACCCGACGTTGTCCACTACTGTCTCCATGGCACCAAGGAGTGAAAGGGCAGAAGAGGAAGAAGGAGGAGGAAGACGGTTGGAATATGTGGAAAGGAAAAGAAAGCAGGGCCTTGGGAACAACCGCAAGATGAGGGAATGAAGCGGAGAGGAAAGTGGATGAGTGACGTAGTTGGAGGGTCAAAAGAGATGCATGTGGAACGCTGAGGGGCATGGAGGAGGAACAACAAGAACACGATGAAGCAGATGTTGCCCCTTTACTCCTGTGGCACTATCAGTGAGCAGGCGCCAGACCTAATGACTCCCCTGCTACCGGACGGCGGCCCACGAAGACCCCGTCTACAACGTTTTGTGGGTTTATTTTTGCCCTGTCATCATCATTTCGGTCCATGCAGAACATCATGTTCCTAAGAGAACATCATGTTCTTGATGTTCTGATGTTCTAACCCCTTCATTCTTCTGCCACAGATTGACGCACCTTAAATACTACAAAATGTTTCACTCATAAAAACAAATGCCACTGGGTCAGATATTTGAGATCCAATGTTGAATAAATGAGACATAAGCTGGTAACACTGTCACTTTAGTTGCAGGTCACTGAGTGACATAGTTACTAATACTATTAGGTTTGCTAATACTACACATATAATACATTTTAACTACTGCAGGGGTTTTCTAATACTACACATATAATACATTTTAACTACTGCATGGGTTTTCTAATACTACACGTATAATACATTTTAACCACTGCATGGGTTTTCTAATACTGCACATATAATACATTTTAACTACTGCAAAGGGTACTATCTAGTAAGGTTAGAAGGTTAGATGGATGTGTCTGTCCCGTACACATAAATCTGGCTGCAGGGAGAAATGCACTTGCTCAAAATGTCTTTTCAATGTTCAAAAATATAACCAATGCAGTTAAATAAACTGGGATAAAAAGGGCATGAACATTTCCTGGGAGGTTCAAACTGGATTTTTGCCCTTTAGCGGGGCAGGTTTTTATATTTAATATTTATTTTTTTGGAGGCTGGGTGAGGGGGGGAGGTGGGGGTGTCTATATAACTCATGGAAATCATTATGGTAGTATTCATTTCATAGTAATTGAAAAGAAAATACATAAAGTATTAATTCATTAATAAGTGACCCTGCTGCTGCACACAAATGGGTCGCATGCTGTAAATCCTTTCGCCCAGCGTGCGCTCCGAGTGACGGCTTTGAGCCAAAGTGCTTCAGCAACGAGACAAATTCTCTTTTCATGGCATCTGAAATTAGGGAAGAGATACAACTGCAACAGTGGGGTGGCAGGTTCAAGAGAAATGGGAAGGAAAAAAAGAGATCATTTTTTAAGTCTGCCATATCGCTTCTGGAAAATATATATTTTTTGTTAAATGTTGAAGTTTTATTCATTTCAAGTTCAGAAACTATGTTCTTTTGACTTGTGTTCAACATGAGAAGTACAAGGAACTAAAACTTTCCAGAAACACATTTTTTTCCCCTCAGTGTTTCTGTAATATAGTTCTAGTTTTGAGGTTTTACATTTTCAAAACTTAGATAGGAGTCCGAACTAATTATTTAAATTCAGTCAAGGCAATCGCCTCAGAATGATCTAGTATAGGATCCAACACACGTGTAATATTTCAGCATAAACATAGATGGAGTTCAAATGCTCTGGTGTGTGTCGTCTTGTATGCGTGTGCATGATGGTGGTGTGTCAGCTGCCCCTTCATCTGGATTGGTGTCCTGCTGAGACTTCTGGAGCTTCAGGCGACAGCTGTTCTCTTCCCTCACTCTGTCCCTCCATCTCCTCCTCACTGTCTCTCCTCTCTCTCTCTGTCCCTCCATCTCTTCCTCACTGTCTCTCCTCTCTCTGTCCCTCCATCTCTTCCTCACTGTCTCTCCTCTCTCTGTCCCTCCATCTCTTTCTCACTGTCTCTCCTCTTTCTCTCTGTCCCTCCATCTCTTTCTCACTGTCTCTCCTCTGTCTGTCCCTCCATCTCTTCCTCACGGTCTCTCCTCTCTCGGTCCCTCCATCTCTTCCTCACTGTCTCTCCTCTCTCTGTCCCTCCATCTCTTCCTCACGGTCTCTCCTCTCTCTGTCCCTCCATCTCTTCCTCACTGTCTCTCCTCTCTCTGTCCCTCCATCTCTTCCTCACGGTCTCTCCTCTCTCTGTCCCTCCATCTCTTCCTCACTGTCTCTCCTCTCTCTGTCCCTCCATCTCTTTCTCACTGTCTCTCCTCTTTCTCTCTGTCCCTCCATCTCTTTCTCACTGTCTCTCCTCTTTCTCTCTGTCCCTCCATCTCTTTCTCACTGTCTCTCTCTCTCTCTGATCTGAGAGGGTGCGTGCAGGTGGTGAGCTGAGAGCGTTAGCAGTGATTCATGTCGATTTTGTAAAATAATTGACAGCTAAAGCTAACGTTGTGTACGGTGTTGTGAGGATGTGCACTTTGAACGTTTCTGCAGTGTTTCAAAGCTTTCAGGACGGCGTGCTGCACGCCGCCACGGATTTCAGCAGGCTGACGCGGAAGCACGGCGTGAGGTGGGGGGTGTGGTGTAGTCCAGCCGGCCTGCCAGCGGAGCGACAGAGTGACTGAGGGGCTGATTGAGGCCCAACAGGTGGACCAGGTGAGTGTGGGGGTGAATGAAGAGACAGGTGGTGTCAGACAGCTTAGTCAAGAGAGAAGAGAATGTGTGAGTGGGGTTCAACAGGTGGTTCGGGGGGGGTGAAGAAGGGCAGGAGGAGCTGGAAAAAAGTCAGGAGACACGTGCTGAGGAAATGCTGTCTGAAAACAGCGCCGAGGACGTGGAGGGGGAGGAGGAGGAACGTAAACCCTCCCCTGAAGAGAAGGAAGACGAGGAGCAGCGCAGGAGCCTCTCGAGCCAAGAAAGGGTCAGAAAACGGAAGGAGAACAAGAGGGAAAGCGGGTGAACCCGGGTCCTCTGCTGACTGGGATTCCACTGACAGCGCCTCTTCTGGTGGGACGGTGACCAGCAGCTACAGGGTGGGGAGAGTGAAGCTCTTCCTAAAGGTAACAAAGAACATGAAGATGGTGGACATGGAGGAGTTCTCTCGCGCTGCTCGGGACGGCGTGAGCAAAAAGGGTAGTGGGAGATACACCCAGCAGGAAGTCTTCCGGATGAGGACGATCACCCTGAAGATAAACAGAGGAAGCTAAGGTGTGCTTCTGTGGACTGAGAGCAGCGTCCATCCGGTGGAGGAGGATCCTGGCCGGCTGACGCAAGAGGAGATGCTGGTGGGGAATGACTGAGGAGTGGAGCCAGCGTCCAGATCGACAAGCAGCTTGTCGTGTTCAGCGTTGTCGTGTATGTGACATGTTTGTGCGTTTTAAAGAAAATAAAGGTTTTTCAAAAATCAAAAAAAAATCTCTCCTCGCTCTCTCTGTCCCTCCATCTCTTCCTCACTGTCTCTCCTCTCTCTCTGTCCCTCCATCTCTTCCTCACTGTCTCTCCTCTCTCTCTGTCCCTCCATCTCTTTCTCACTGGGTAAATCTCTGTCTCTTTCTTGGTCTTTCTCCTTTTCTCTCGGTGGCTGTCTGTCACTATCTGTCCGTCTCTTTTGTGTGCCGCCCACACACAGACAGGTGAGCGCGCCCACAGCAGCGGTCAGAGAGAGCGCTTTGGAAAAATGAAAAGCCCAATCTTATTCAGAATCACCTGAGGCAATATCCTTTCTGTGCCACCTGCTCAGGGAATATGTGACCTGGTTGTGAAGCTTTACTTTACTTCACACCCCCGAGTCCTCGTACATTCTTCTTCTTCTTCAGTTCATCTCTAAATGTGCTCCTTCTAGCTCTTCAGACACCCATACAAGAGTATTTGGTATGTGTAGGAGTTCCTACCAGCAGGGGCATGGCCAGGTCGGCGAAGTAGACGAAGGCCGCTCCCAGGGTGAATCCCACAGCCACAGGCAAGAAAGCGAAAGAGCCGTACTTCCCGGATTCCTCCGCCATGTTGATTGCCGGTGCCAGCAGTGACCAATAGGAAGCAGCCAACATCACCTGAGAGACGCGAGGAGAGGACAGAGGAGAGTAAATGGTAGGACTCCTTCTTATGTTGCACTTCTTACGTGATTTAAAAGGTCAGACAACGGTCGGACCACTCTCGTTCAGAGAGTGTTGAGTGTGGCTCCTTAGATAATTCAGTAAAAAAAATCCTCCCACCTCAACACCTGTTACAATGTTACATAATTTAGCAGACTTTTATATTCTCTCACCCAGCATCACTACCACCATCTTAAAGCCACTGTTTGGTTTGAGCTTCCTGGGTAAAAATCCAAGTTACCGATTTGGAAATTGACATGCACATAGCGAGCCAAAACTCTTCAACAGCTAAATTTAATTGCATCCAAAGGTTGTACACACAACCACAATGGAACATCCGATGCAGCAATAACACATGCAGTCTTCAGGGAAAATACTGACAAGCCAGTTAACCCTGACAGTATTTTTTGTGAGTCAGCTGTCAACGTGAAAAGAGAGTACGTCCGAACACACTTGTTTGTCTTGCAGCCTGTGTGTATGGACACAAAGTATCTGCAGTGTCAGTTGTTTATCACAATTACATGTCAATCTTTCATCAGCAGTGGAAAACACCAGTGTGTGTTGCAATATATATATCATATAATATATATCTAATTATATATATAAATATAATATATATTATATATTATATATATATATATAAAAATTCAAATTATAACGTCTTGTTATGTGTTTTATGCGAAACTGTTGAGGAAACGGCTCACACACATCTCTGCGTTGACTGAAGCTCCCACATCCAATTTTTTTTTTCTTACATTTGTTTACAATAACAGTGATGTTTATTGTGCAAAAAACAAGTAGCCGTTTCACAGCTGTTTTCTTTTTTATCTAGGTGGAAAGAGGAAAAAATATGCAGATTTTATTAAATTCATTCATTTTGAACTACTGGTATGTTTTGCGGTTCTGATGCGGCTTCCCACCCGCAGCCACCCACCCACGGCGTTACCAAGCCAAACTTCCCCCTTTGGTCACACTGAAGAAAAGGGTGGCACTCTGGAGCTGTGTGTATATGCATTTGTATTTACTTGTAGACCTGTTAGAGACTCTGCTCACACCTTGCCAGACAACCTATAATCGGAGGAAAAAGAACACCCTAGAGGTGATTCTGTTTTTATCTTCAGCAGCGTCTTCATGTTCCATTTCCACACTTTACCAATCAAGGGTGGAACTGCTGCAATCTGGAGAACACGATGTACTGCGGGGCCATTGGAGCTGTCTACAAGTTAATTAGCAACAAGCCAGGAACCGCGGGAGGCGGGCAGTTTCACCGACTGCCGTTACAGCCGCCAAGCCTCACAGGTGCACAACGTGGAAATGTGTGAACATGACTTTGTATTTGTGCTCTTTACGGGAATATATGTGTTTGGCCTTTTAAAGGATTGATTAACCAATTCAACTCCGGGATCGTCATTCATGTGATTAGCAAATTGGAGTCCTGACTTTATCTAACATGTATGTATTTTCAGTATGTAAATTATGTAAGTAATAGCACATATATGCCTCCTTGCCGAGAGTTAGAAGAGAAGACCAGAAGCTCCTGCATGCCTGGGTGAAGAAACATGGCTCTTTCAGAAGGGAAAATAAAAAAAACTGAATCTGCCCCCCAGTGTCTTTAAAGCTCATCTACTAAATTACTTTCTTTAGTTTGGTGGAAGTGAAGAAAAAAAACTGTAAAGCATTTGGGGTTTTTGGAGGGGTGGGGGGGTTGTGACTAAAGACAACTTGAATAGCCAACTAACTGGCCTCAGCCAGAAAGAGAGTAAACATCATTTGGGGGAAAGGTCTTCCATAGCCTAAAACACAGCACATCAAACCAGTTGAGATGTGTGATAATTATTGTATTTCCATGACAACGTTGACCTCTGTACGATAGCTTAACCATTTAGACTTTTAAGCCTAGTTTATGCTTCTGCGTTTTCAGAGCGACGCAAGGACACGCAGACGGAGGAGCCCCTTGCGTGCCTTTTCACTATAAAAGTAATCGGATTATGAAAGAAAAAGGTGATTGAATTTCTAGCACTGAATATTTATGCATTGAAATCATGTATCTGAATGTTTTTAACGTTAAAATATTCAACTGAAAAAGATGCAACCGCAAAAAATTATATGCAAAAATTATATGCAAAAAAATTCAACAGCAACATTCGGGAACCCAAGGAAGAGCAAACGATTCTAGATTCAAGATCGTGAGCGTGCGTCAAGCAAAAGGAGCGAGCGCCCCAATACAACTTCGACTTGTCGACTATGATGACCGGATTTCAGCCATGTCCATTAATAATGGTTGAGTGTTTTAACTTTAACTTCATGCCATCAGTGTGGTTTGTGTCTGTAAGATTCAGTATTCAGATGCTTCGACAAGCTATTAGGAGTGATTGGCGGAGTTTTGAAACCAGGAACGCGCTTGTAGAGCGCATAGGAGCCACTGCAGCGTAGTGGGGGAAAGGGGGGGGGGGCGCTTTAGCGGAGCGTGTGCAGACGCATAACCCCGACAGTACGTTCGAATTTTTTTGCATTGAATTTTTTTGCACTGAATTTTGCATTGAATTTTTTGCGGTTGAATTATTTGCGGTTGAATTTTTTGCAGTTGAATATTTCAACGTTGAAAAACATTCACATACATGATTTCAATGCATAAATATTCAGTGCTAGAAATTAAATCACCTTTTTCTTTCAAAATCCAGATTTTAATTCCATATTTCACACCTCCTTGCGTGCTTGAGTGCGTCGACCAATTTTTCTAGGCTTGCGTCGCTTTCGACACAAGCCTCCTGCAGCGCACAAGGCTGTGATTGGTCTGCTAACTGCATCCTTTCCGAAGTCTCACATTTCCCTAGCCCGATACCGCCATTATTAAAACTGATTGAAGAGCTTTTGGTGGAAGAAATGCGGAAGTATGACCACTTATACAACCCGTCATTGGCGGACTGTAAGGAATTGGGAGGCCATCTGCGCGTCTGACAAAGACCTGACTCTCTAGGTCGTATTCGACAAAAAACGTTACTCCACCGATTGTTCTGGCGGTGAATGAACCATGAATTGAAATGAGTGCGTAAAGATGCAGACGCAGAAGCATGCGCCAGTTATGAGTTATAAAGCTTAGTTTAGTATTATTATTATTTAAAATAATACATGGGTTTTGTTTTTTTGGCCCCAAGGATGAAAGTAATCGTTTGGAGGCAAACAGAAATGGAGAGTTTGTCGTTTCATCACAGAAATATGGGTCACTCTGTGATACACATTTCACAGTTCAAAGCGGCAGTCTGCAATTTCACTTGCTGTCGGCTCCGAGCGGAAAGTGGTAAATATTTAACTCACAAAACGCGATAGGAACGTGACCTCACTTAACCGCGCGCACACACACACTCGCATCAATTATGCTGATCCGTGTCAGAGGGGAATGACCGACAGAACACGTCATTTGCGTGGGGCCTGATTTCTGTGCACACGACAGTTATTCAAAAGACCTCCTGGTAAGGATGGTGATGTCAAACCATCTGAGGATTTTGAGGTCAACCAAGGAGTTTTTTTCATTACACCTGAATTTCACGAAATTCAATATGTTTCAATGTATCTACTTTTCCTGTGAATGTCTTACTAATATTCTTATTTCCTCTTTTACCCTTTCCGCGTGAATGACTTTTGTTCTTTCTGTTTTGTTTCGGCTTTTCTCTCATCTGCATTTGCAAAAGCCCAGGGTCCATTGCACAATGTCTCAATATTCTTAAAGGCTTTTCAAACACCTTTGAAAGAATGAGAGAATCCTGCGTTGAGACTGGAGACTGTGAAATAGAGAGGCACCCAATTACTGCTTTGTTATCCAACTCAGAGCCAAATGCACATCCTTCTGCAGCTTATTTTAGCTGGAGATACAGAGCCTTGTGCCCTGGTAATACCTCTGTTGCCATATGAACATGTGCGCAGAGGTGCTGTTGTCATGCACCTCCCATGCGCATGTGGTAAAACATCTCGTGCGTAAGCTGCGATTGGAAATAACCGTTGTTTTCGTCCTTGCTCTCCTCCTTACTTTATTTCCAAAATCTCTTGTCAGTTTTGACACTTGAACAGGGAGCTTGAACCTTAAATAATAATAATAATATAAGACATCACACGCGGCAAACATCAGGATCCTCCTCAGGCCGGAATTTGTGTCAAACCGCACATCTGTAAAGCCCACAAAGGGATTGAGAGAAACTTCTTTTGTCTTAACCCCACTAAGCCAGCGTGAATGTTGGTGGTACGGTGGTTTTGTCTGAAGTTAAATATTTAAAGCGTGGCCTGAATAAATAACAATACAGAATGATAGTAAAAGAAACCAAAAACGGTCTCCAAAACCCAAAACTGGAAAAGGTGCGTTACAAATTATTACTAAACAAAAGTGTGTTCAAAAGATATAGCATGAGAAGTTCTCCTGTAGACACACAGTAACTTCAGTGTTTCCCCCGGTTTACAGCTTCAGGCCGGGGCGATGGGGGGGGGGGGGGTTGCAGGTCCATTAGTGCAAGCGCCACGTGCGCGCATACACAGACATATTTGCACATGTGTCGGTGTGCAATTTCAGACCTTTTCTTTTGATGGTAGGGGAAACACCGAGGTAGTCACTGAAGCAAAACTAAAAGTGTTGTAAAAGACATTGGATTGTGACCTTAACGGCAATGGTGTGAAGCACAAGAACAGAATTTCTTTTAGTATTTATATATATATATATATATATATATATATATATATATATATATATATAAACTGTGTCCCAGATGGTAACTACTATCTGCTGGTCCACTGAAATATTGTAGAAAAAGTAATTCCCCTCCAGTAATGCATTTAGAACCATAACTCCTACGTACGTTTTGGTTTTTTTACATTGTTTCATATTTAATTTGTGTGACCTTTCCAGGATTCAAGTTCACTTTCCAGACATTTTTGAAACTTTAATCATCAGTGTGGAGCCTGTCTGTGACGAC